TATGTATGTATGTATGTATGTATGTATGTATGTATGTATGTTAATTACGGTAATTATTATGGTCTGACTTGCCGTTTTTGTCTCACTCACGACTTTTATGAGAAGCAGCGAAATTTACATTAACATTTGAGGCAAAGGCGCTATTTTTGTGCAAAATAGCCTCACGAAATATTAACTGAAATTCTGAAATAAGTTTTCGATTAGGAAAGATTCCTTAAGTGACGGTTGTAACACTGATAATTGTGCCACTTGAAGTCTTCGTTCGCAAATCCTCCTCCCGCCTCTATCGTCATTGTGAACCTACGTGGTGAAAGCCAACCCTGAATACGCTTGCGACTCGCAGTTTGAATGGCTGGTTTGCCAAAGTGACACAATTCCCTTCCGAATTTGGACTCTGAGTATTTCAAGAGAAAAGCGATCATTCGTTTGTCGGTGAGCCTGCAACTTGGAGCTGATAATGTGTGTCGTCACAAGTACATGAAAAATCCCTCTCGATGGGTGAAAGTCTAATAAGCTTTTGCTTCAATGCTCAGACGGGCAGAAACACTACGACAGGGGAAATTCCTGTACTCTTCGTGGTACTGTTGTACTAGCTGGCTTGTCGACTAAAAGAAAAATAATTTAAGACCATTTAGTCAGTATCCGTATGGCAGCCTTATGAAAAAAAGCACGCTGTTCATGGGACCGACGTTCACATCTCTTACCCTACAGATTGTAGACATTCCACTTTGCCCCAAAGGTCCGCTTGATACCCTCCTATTCTCGAGGAATTTTGTCGTCACAGATACCAGGGGACAGCTCGATGGTCTCGTGCACCTTAATTGTCAAGGGTCTATTTTAATCTCCGTCTTGCAGCCAAGTCAAGTTCGTGAAAGCCAATCTGGCCTTTCTGTGGGCTTCTGATTGTTGGTTTAATTGCTACAATATCCAAATCCATCAAGAACTGGACGGCACTTCAAGTATCTATACCTCTCTACCTGGCTGATGTCAGTTAATGATCTCGAAAAACCATCCCGGTCTCCTTGTTTCTGATTGATTTTCAGTCTGTGACCGCCTACTGGGATTGTACTTCAGAGCACTAGCGCGAAACTAAGTTCCCCATGTGAATGCACATCACTTTCGTGAAACTTTTAGGGTTCGCGATCGAAGCTGGGCCACAACTTTGTGCCGGAGCGATTATTCAATGAGCAACCGAACTGCGGATTCAAACGCCGGGCCTTTGTGACTCGGAATCCGTTGCTTTTCTGTAATCCACGTTTCATTTGATTTTGTATCACTGTTGTAGGTGCTGGGGCCGCCTTTTACTAGTGCTGTGTGTAGGAACGCAGCCCAAATTTGCTCCCTTTGACTGTATTCTGTATTATTTATAAACCTTTGGCGTGGCCCCCAAAAGGCTCTTTTCTATTTTCTCCTAGTGGCTGAAATGGCTGTCTGCTACCAACGGGCCGGCCGGGATGGACGAGCTCAAATGGAAGCACAGTATGGCAAGCCTAACCTGGATGAGCTACTCAGAAATCACCAGACCAATGAATTCATAAAGAAGGAATGCAAGCGCTGCCCTAATTGCAAACTCCTCATTCGGGTT